ATTTAAAGAAAACTAAGCACTTACCTAATATATGTAGTGTGCCCTTTGTGTTATAAAGCCAAGAAGCATCATTAGCAAAACCTTTCAGTGACTAATTAAGTAGCAACTTGGGAGTACTGCAGGAATGGCAAACACCTGGTCCATACACTGACATGTCCCTGCTCCCTAGGAACCAAAGCAGACTTCACTAATTCATCCTGCTACTCTTTCTGTTTTAGGGACCAACTGCAGCCTCACACACATGAAACAACCTCAGACTCCCATTCAACACAACACTGAAGGAAGGCATGAACAATTTGGTATACCTTTAGAAATACCAATACACTAGTAAACAGACTTCAGCCATGCCATTAGGAATTATATGGCCCCTGGTGAGTCACTTACTTTCTTCTTGGTTCCTTTTCATTCTGAAGCAATGTCAGTGAAAAAATTAAGATCTGATACTATAGCTTTCACATCAGAAGAATAGAAAGTGATTTTTTTATGTGGTAGCAGTAGTTTTAGGTAAAGAACAAATACTATTTGTAGTTAAGCCAGCTCACTCTTCAATCTAATGAAAACAATTTTTCCATTGGGTTATTTGAGGAAAAAATGTCACCAGCCTGTGCATTTTTAATGCATTATTTTTAAAGTATATTTGGGGATGACTCTTTATTAAGTTAAAGTATACAGTTATATATTTTTAAGTTTAATTTAAATTCATCTTCTTTCCGAGTGTATAGAGAATATTTGCAAATTAAGATTGTTTACTCTTTCACACAAATTTCTATCATTTCAGCCAAACTTACCACTACTTTTTATTCTTTCCAAATGTTATTATTGCAAAGAAAGCTCAGAAAGGGCAAACACTTTAATATTAAAATGAATGCAACCCCAGCCTAGATGATTTTAGAACATTATGAAATATGATTTTATGCACAAAATTTATTACCAATATTCTATATTCACTATTGCTATAATATAATACATGTTATTGCTGATTCCATCTAACATTTTTTAAATGTTTTATGTTTATATATTTCCACAAAGAATAGCATTCCATATTAACTTGATAGTATATTTGAGAAAAACATATTATTACAAATTTATTTATTTTTGTTATAGATGTTTCTCCTTTTTCTCTCATTGACACCCTCCTCCCAATCCCACACTCCCCTCACAGTACTGTTGTCTATGTCCATTGGTTAAGCATATATGCATATAAGTTCTTTAGTTTATCTCTTCCCTCCGTCCTTCCCAGCTCCTCTGAAGTTTGTCAGTCTGAACCCTACTTCTATGTCTCTGGGTCTACTTTGTTCACCACCTTTTTTGTTCATTATATTCCACAAATAAGTGAGATCATATGATATTTGTCTTTCTCTGATTGGTTTATTTTGCTTAACATAATACTCTCCAGGTCCCTTCATGTTGTCTCAAAGGATAAGAGATCTTTCTTTCTTATAGCTGCATAGTATTCTTTCCTGTTTGCTTGGAAGATTTTTTTCCACCCCTTCACTGTCAAACTAATCAAGTCTTCAGTTGTGAATTGAGTCTCTTGTAAACAACATATATATGAGTTATGCTTTCTTATCCATTCAGCTACTCTGTGTCTTTTTAATTGGAGCATTTAATCCAGTTACATTTAAGGTTATTATTGATATGTACTTATTTATTGCCATTTTTTTCATTATGGTTCTGTTTTTCTTTCTATTTCTTCTGCTTATTATAGCAGTCCCTTTAACATTTCTTGCAGTGTTGGTTTGGTGCTAATGTATTACTTTAGTTTTGTTTTTTGTTTTTTTTTTTGTCTGGGTGCTCTTCATTCCACCTTCTATTTTGAATGATAACCTTGCTGGATAGAGTAGACTTGGATTCAGATATTTGTTTTTCATTACCTTGATCACTTCATGCCATTCCCTTTTGGCCTGCAGTGTTTCTGTTGAGAAGTCAGCTGATAGCCTTGTGAGGGTTCCTTTTTTAGATAACCTGTGACTTATATCTTGCTGCCTTTAGCATTCCTCTTTGTTTTTCATTTTTGGAATTTTAATTATCAGGTGTTTTGGTGTGGGCCTCTTTGGGTTCTTCTTACTTGAGGCTCTAGTTGCTTCATGAACATGTATGCCTTTTCCTTCATCAAGTTAGGGAAGTTTTCTGTCACTATTTCTTCAAATATATTCTCTAACCTTTGCTAATTTTGTTCTCCTTCTGAAACTCCAATGATGTGGATGTTGTGACTATTCATATTGTCCCACAGTTCTCTTAAGCTGTATTCCTGTTTTTTTGTTTTTTTTTTATCCTCACCCGAGGACATTTTTCCATTTTTTGTTCAGATAGAGCAGGAGGGAGAGAGAGGAAGAGAGAGAGAGAGAAACATTGATGTGAAGGGACACATCGAGTGGCTGCCACTCTCACGACCCAACCAGGGCAGGGGACAAACTGTAACCGAGGTACATGCCCTTAGCGGGAACTGAACCCGGGTCTCTCTGTACCGCAGGCCGACGCTCTAACCGCTGAGCCAAACCGGCCAGGGCTGTCTTCCTGTTTTTAAATTATCTTTTCTTTTAGGTTCTCTGATTGGGTGATTTTTTTCTACCTTGTCTTCTAATTCACTGATCTGATCCTTGGCTTCCTCTACTCTGCTGGTTCTTCTTTCCAATGTATTCTTTATTTCTGCTATTTTACTTATTTTTATTTGGTGATTTTCCATTACCAAGTGATTGATTTTCAATGTTTCTATATATTTACTCATGCTATCATGCATCTTCATAATCATTAGTCTGAACTCTGCCTCTGATATCTTGCTTAATTGTGTTCCATTTATGTCTTCTGTAGAATTCTCTTGTTCTTCATTTGGGATTTGTCTCTTTGTTTCACCACTTTGGCTGTCTTAGTAGGTTTTGGAGCTTGCCAAATTTTCTCTGTGGGTGTTGGTGTTCCACTATTGGGTTTGGATGAGTGTGGGAGGATCCACATTAAACATCACTGTCCAGTCTTACTTTTCTAGGTTGATTTGCAGGCCAAGTAAAGGTTCAATTATCCTCTAGCTTTTGCCTGCAGGCTATTTGTCTCAGTTATCTGATGAGCCTTAGGTTGTAGCCCTCAGCTGAATTAAAAATCCCTCAGGTGTACAGGGTAAGAGCAATTCCAGCAGGTGGGCCACTGCTTGCTGGCAGTCTCTAGCTGTTCAAGAGCCTCAATTTACATTTCTCTGGCGTGGTCTGGTGGTGTTTAATTCCTGAGGGAGGGGCAGTTGTTTCTCTCCAGGGCTCTTTGAGTAAGATGGCTACTGTCCTGTGATGGAGTGATTCAGCACAAAACTAACAGTGTTCACCCTTCAGCTCTCTCCTGAGCCAGGAGCCCTGACTCTCTTCACACAGTTCCAGTACATTCTGCCCTCCTTCTGCGGGAGCCCAAGGTGAGTGGTTCTAGCTGATATAGTGCTCTGGCCCTTCAGAGAACTGCCTTTTTCTCTGTGCCTCTGCTTGCCAAACAAAGCCTCAGCTCTGTTGATCTCACCCAGGTGTTATGTGGGTTCCTTTCCCTGTCCTGCCACTCTGTGCTGTGGAGCTGGCTTGGGATTTTAACCCCCGACTTCTCAGAGGGAATTGCTCACAGCTAAAACAGCCCTCAGCTGCTGTCCATGGGCTCCCAGCTTGCCCTCTCATACCTTTGCAGTAACTACCAGGCTTGATTTGTTTTCCTCTTTCTGTCCCTGGTTATAAGGGTTCTCAATTTAAGAATACTGATGCCTTTCATTTGTTTTTCTCCTGATGATTTGTCTTTATTTAAGTTGTAATTCCAGTTTGGTTCCATGAGATGGTCTGTGTAGCCACCATTTTTTCATTCAGAGAAAAATCTTTTGAAACTAAGGTATGAAATTCTTCATTCTTTATTCAGAAAGACATAGATTATTTGTTTTAAATAGTCTTAATTGTTTTGTGTTCTATCAATTATAAATTATTATGTATAGGGTAGTAAAAAATATATAAAATTTGGGGTGGGTCAATTTAAGAATACTCTAGTCCAAAGAAACTAAATAAATACATCAGTTCTTGAGGGAACAAACAAACATTGTATATATGAAAATATGCATATGACTTACATATTTATAGATTTCTTAAGAATACAGATAGTATCTATGCTACATAAAAATATGAATTTCCTCTATTTAAAAATTAGTGAATGGCTATTTTGACATTGCTATTCATTTATAAGGTTAACTGGTATGGAAATTGGGTTTTAAAAGCAATTTTCATTGACTGTTATAGTCTAAAGGGAAAACTTACACTCTAGTGACAGAATATGTAAACAATCAAACAAACAAACAAAAAACAAAAGAAAAGGCCTTGGCATATTTATATGGAAATTTGCAGAACATGGAACAGCAAGTTTTTTCCAAAATATGTATCATATGTATCTACAATCTCTATCCATTTATTTTCTGCATATAAATGCTATCTCATCAAATTATTCCTAAAAGTTCAAGAAAATGTGGTGGTAATACAGCCTCATGCCTTCATATATTTAAGAAAAAATTAAATGCCTTCAAGTTACAGAAATTGTGACTTGAAGTGATAAGAAGAAGAAACAGAAGAGCAACTAATTGTATCTGTATTTTAACATCATTCATGTTTTGATTATCTGCATTAATGGAATGGAGTGACTAATAAAAAAATTATAGATAATCTACTTAGTGATATTGGGTCTGTAGCCTTGTGCTTAGAAGCTGAATTTTATGTATTTCATTTATTTTTTATTCCTCATCTGAAGATATTTTTCCATTTATCTTTAGATAGTAGGGGAGGGAAGGAGAGAGAGAGAAACATCGATGTGAAAGAGACACATCGACTGGCTGCCTCTTGCATGACCCGGACCAGAGCCAGGGCTGAACTGCAACCAAGGTGCATGGCCTTGACCTCAATCAAACCCTTGACTCATTGGTCTGTGGGCTGATGCTCTAACTGCTATGCCAAACCAGTCAGGGCTAGAAGCTGAATTTCTAATTGCCCAATATAATTTACTGCAAATGTGCGATGAGAATGCCCATCACCAGAGCAGTGGCCACAGACATACAATTTTGTTTCTGGGGACAATTCCTATCTTAAACAAAGAGAATCTGAAGTTGACTTTTTTAAATTTTCAATCTTAAGTCTTATACTAATAATGCATATTATCCTTTAAAAATATTTTTTGGATTATTATCTTGGTAGGTCAATATAAATAAGATATTGTATTTTTGTCTCATAGTTAACAATAGTAGAGATTTTAAAAATAGAAATGATTTGGCAGATGGGAATTTGAATATTTGAACAGAATGAATTAACTATTAACCAAAACTATTCATTATCCATCGTGATCTTGATTTAAGAACTTAGCTTTCCATTTCTAAGGTAAAATTATGGCCAATGTTAATAAATATTCCTGTAGAATTAAATGATACTATGATTTTGAGATTATGGCATCTTGCTTGTCCTTAAAACTTTATCTCTTTTTGAAAAAACAAACAAACTTGATTTGTAGTCAATTATAACCAACGCAAATGCAATGAACATAAATTCTGTCTTGTCATAAAAAGTTAGAATAATCATAAGACTCTATTTAAATAAACTTTCTTGACCATGCATTATTATAATACCATTTAAATATTTAAATATATGATTAAATATATATTTCAGAGTATGGAGCCAAACTCCATATTCTCTGTTAAAACCTGTTGAATTGTGCCATCTGTTTTGGAAACTAGTCTATACACTCAAATGTATAGCTTGCATTTTTATCAATAAAAGAAAAGTGATTATTTATTGATAAATGACATAGAATGTCTTTTTTTTTTTACCTAAGTAGTATTAGACATTTGATTTTTTTTTTTTTTTTCTGAAGGGTAAAAAGATTACACTGCATTTGAATAGACCATGTGATAGCACATCCTTAGACGTCATGTATGATATGAAAAGATGATCTCCATTCATAAGATACACAATGGAAATTATAAGTATATCAGGAAAGAAGAAAAGCAAAGATGGATGTATAGGAGTGTCAGGGAGTATTTGTAGTGGTTTGATGCATGTAAATATTACATCTTACAAATAATTCTGTTCAAATTTATCTCTGAAGTTCAGGTACTTCGTTTAAGAAAGAGACTGTTTTACATGACTATATGCCATTTTCTTCAAGAAAAGAGCAACATTAATTTAAACAGGAAAAAATGGCTCTCAAAATATTCCTTTCCTTCAGTTTTCTGTGAAAAAGTATGTCACCCGATCCTGGCAGATAAGGACTAGGAAAAATTGTTCAAGTTATATTTTACTATCAGAATCCAACAAACACATCTTCATCTAAATTATTTTGTCAACAGCCTGTAGTACCCTTGCTAACCTTATTTCGCACCAGTGCATAATTAGATACACAGGGGTGTGACTCCAATTGAAGGTGTTGGCATTGTAGCACTCTGTGAAAATATTAACTATGAGGTTAACTCCAATTTTCTCTTCTTTAATTAAATGCACATGGTACTAATGAGGTAACCTACTGTTCCTTGATAGCGCTAATTAGCTAAGAGGAGAGTACACTCTCACACTGCAATTTAAACCTAAAAATAAGGTTGAAATATGCTAATTGCAGGCAATTTTAAAACAGTACAAGTTGAAGAACTAGTCATAATAAGAGAAACTGACTGCTTTACAGCTAGGCAGCTGTAACTTTGGTTAAAATGCAAACAAGCCACATGATTTTTGGACTGCTATTTAACAAGGTCATAGGTGTCCTCATAAAATGAAATGCTATTTCATATACAACAGTATGATCCAGACCAACAAAAAATGCTCAGATCGACACTTATGTACATAAAACCCAAAATAAATAAACATCACAGGAACTCTAAAGTGCCACGACATGATTTATATTCAATACTGAAAATTAAACTTCATAAACAAGCAATATTACCTTAAACTCTTTCAAGAGTACCCCATTAAATAAAATATTGCAATATGTGTCTCCAAAATAGACAAAACATGTCAATGTGTGATCTCAATCACACAATGGGAAGGAAAGATACAGAGAGGAGTTAATATCAGCATCTGAGGAATACACAAACAGGACATTTTCAGACAGTGTATAAGTATAGTGATAAAAATATACAAAAGGTGCTATGGAATAAAATGGTGTAGATACCAGTGAAGGGATACAGTTGCCAAAACATCAGAAGGATTTCATTATAATAAGAAGATTTTCATTACATTTTTTTCTACAGGTTAGAGCTTTGGGATGGAAGTAGCCTGCAGCTTCACTGTGAGAATGATTTTCTCCATTCTTAGTTCAAAATCCTCAGAAACAGTATTTCAGTAAATCTAAGTATAATCCAAATATATTTTCTTTGTTTCACAAACATTTTCCAAATATTATTTTAACTGAACATTTGACATAAAGCAAGATTCTGAAAGAACTTCTGAACCATCATAAAAGAATGTTTTGATTGGTACAAAGTATATTTTCCTTATTTTTTATTCTGTAAAATCTATGATATCATACTTTTACTAGACAAAAACTATTTAACTAAAAAGACTCATTGTCTGACAATGATAATCTTTCCTTTTACCACAGAGAAAATTAAGCATGTTAAAATGATATTGTCATTAACCTATCGTTAGGGACAAGAGAGATAGAGATTGCCCGACACTGAGGTCTCACAGTGATATTTTTCTGCTCCTGTCACTTTGCATGCAAAATCATAAAATATGTATAGTTTAAACAATAGAAAGAGTTGAACCAGCAATAAACAGAGTTAAAAAGCAAAATTTGTGAAAATAAAAAATCAATTTTATCTTAAGTTTACTGAAGAGCAATAACTTAGAAAGCAAACCATTTGAAAGGTAAAGGCTTTTACCTAACTCCCAACTAATAACTCCTAGAGTTAAAATATATGTGAATACATTTTGTACTACCATTAGCCAGTCATTTTGTCTTGCCAAAAGGCTTGGTTGAAGAAACTGCTTTGGAAAACCCAGCTTCTTCTCCTGGCTGTCCAAGAGCTGTCTAGGACAGAAAGAGACAGAGTGTTGGCAAGAGATGTTAATAAACCTCTGACTAACCATGCCTTAACAGATCCATGAAGTTGCAAGTCTGTAAAAGAGTAGGAAGACAAATAAAAGCAATCATTTAGAAATTATCTCCTGGAGGCAACTTGATCTATTCCAGAAAATCACAGGGAAACACAATATGAATGGATGTTTTAAGTGTTTACATCTGTTTCAAATAAGCACCAAAAGATCCTTTTAACAGTGAAAAGGCCAAGACAATGTATTGGAATGGCCTTTCAACATTAACTTCAGAAAAAATCTATTCTTTAAATATAAATTATTGTAATTTTCTGTTAAAACAATAAAGAGTAAATCACTAAGCGCTGAAATAAGAATGCTAACTCTGGAGACAGTCTGCCGAGTTCTGATCCTGACTCAACACTTACTAGTAGTGTGATCTCCAGCAAGTTACTTAGCCTCTCTTGGCCTCTTTCTCTCTAGAACAGGTGTAATAAGTAACATTGTCATATGGTTATTAAATACATTGATGTGTAAAGTACTTAGAATAGTGCTGCAATCCTTATACTTAATATTTACTAGTTATGGACTTAACATTTATTAGCTATCATTATTGTTCTAGAACAACACTGAATTTTTTTAAATTAGAAAATATTAAAATCCTACAATGTATAAAACAATATTACACACTGTAAAGGGTGCAAAATACTCAAGACATTTTATTTGCATTCAAATAACTTTTGTCTGTCATCAAACTTTGTGGTATCAATAAAAACCTCTTCCACGTGAGTGAAAAGTATTTGTTTCTCTTTAGAAACCTGATGCAGCAAAGCAAAACGTTAATATGAGTGTGTTTGCATTCAGTGACAGGTAAAATTGCTTCTAAGAAAGAATATAATTTTTCAAAGATGATAAAGTTATATTTTTCATAGAAAGTAGGTAAGTATTATATATTGATCTTTCCTGACAAATGAAATTGTTTTAAATTATAGTTTATTGAGGTTGGATGAAAGTATGTTCAAATTTTTTTTAACATGTTTAAAACTTTAGGGTCACAATAGTTGGGGTAAAATTATATCTAAAAGGAATAGTGACCTACATTTTAAAGGTGCAAAAATTTGAAAAGTGTTCAGTTAATCAAGGAATGTGGAAACTCTCGACATGACATGCAACAGTTGATTGGCCTTTTTGCCACTCCAACTGTTTCTTTTGTAGGTTTTTTTTTTTGGCTGTTTGGAGGCCACTCATCACATCTGATGAAAATTGTTCCAGGGACAGTGTGGTCAGGGTATGTATCAGAATGATATGTGTTGGCTTTGCAAATTCAAAGCCAACTTCATCCTTCCCTAGCCCATCTCCGAAAAACAGATCAAAATCTTCCTGGCTCTGACAGAGGAGATAAAAAAAAAAAAAAAGAACTGCTTCCTGGAAAACATTCTGAGTACTTCTTAGGACCAGTGGCTCACAGTAGTTGGTATATTCTTTGGAGTCAGTCAATGAGAAGCAGGGACTGTGTGCTCCAGAGGACCAAATCAATATGAGCACATGACTGAGGACTTTTTATTCTTGATTATGAAGAAGTAGTTAGCCCTGCCTTAATTCCTTCTGCAATACAAACTACAAAACCCCAGAGATATTGAGAAGAATATTATGCGGCCATTAAATAATGACTTTTCAGAGAAGAGAAATGAGACCTAGGGAGCTGAAATTATTTACGAAAAGTTATGCTTTTATTAGTTTTTAAAAGCTGTTGTGCATCACATTGCCTACTGTATAGGTTCTCAGAGTTTAGCATGTAAAAGAATTTCTGGGTAAGCTGTTATAATTGCAGAGTCTGATTTAAAAAATCAAATAGGGCCTAGGAATATGCATTTTAAGAAGCATCTTGGCAATTGCTATCACACTTTGAGAAATGTTGTTTTCAATGTACAGGATATTTGTGTGACAGGTGATTTTTCATTGTTTTATTCTATGCACTCAGTCAACACCTTATCAGGGCCTACTATATGCTATAAAATACATAAGCCATATGGCTATAAAAATGAATAAAAATTGTCTTTGCT